GTGGCCAGCGGCTCTGCTGTGACACTGACTCAGGGCTCAGGCCCCTGCTCTGCCAGGGAGCCCTTTGCCAGCCAGGGCCCCGTGTGCCCGGGACCTGCAGGGGCTGGGTTGGACACTCCGCTACGTTTGTACCTGTGTGTTTTGCTGTTGTGTAGTTTCTTAAACCAGGTCCTTCCCAGCTCCGTGCCTGCGTGCTCTGGGCAGGGGAGGGGTCTGCAGGAACCCCCTGGAGGGGCCGTGCTCTGGGCGGGCAGGTTACTGCCTGTGCCCTTGGGACAACCAGCAGCTCTGACACAGGGTTGAGCTCCTCAGGCTCAGGCAGGAGAGGGACAGAGGAAGCTGTCAACACCTGCCCCATCTCGATGGAAAGGGCTGAGCATGGCAGGGGGCTGCACTCCAACGGGAAAGGAAGGAAGAAGCAGCACAGCTGGTGCCTACTTCTCCCCTACATGCTCCCCCCCTGCATCCCCTTGTGACCCCAGCCTCAAGAGATGCACCACTCTGGGCTGGAGACCAAGCAACTGCTCCCCAAAGTGCCTCTGCACCCTGTGCTATGCTTTTATTTTCTCCCAAGCAGCACTTTGACAAGTTTCAGCATTCCCTCAGGCCAGCCTGAACCCACCTCCTGCCCCAGGGGTGGGGCACTGCCAGCAGATAACCTCCCATCCTCAGCTGTACTGCTCAGAGCAAGACAGCCCTGCCCCAGGCAGAACCAGGCACAGCCCTGCAGGCAGGAGGGGTTCCAGCAGAGGCATGAGAGTGGGTGGGAAAGCAGCACTGCTCTGCATGGCTGCAGCCCACCCTCCACCAAAGGCCAGCAGGACAAGTGCCCCCCACCCAGGCATCAGCTCCTGTGTCCAAACACCAGCAAGGAAGAGCTGGCTCCAGGCTCAGGGCTGAGTTTGTAAGAAGGGGTTCTGTGCTGCTGCTCCCTAGGAGGGGATCCCTGGCAGTACGGCTGGAAGGAGGGAGCTGTTCCTGCCCCAGCAGCATTAAACAGGGCCCAGGATAATTTAGGGCAGCAGAGGAGCAGCCAGCAGCAGGAAGGCAGCTGCAGTCCTGTGTGAGCAACGCTGGCACAGTCAAGTCACTGCTGCAGTTACTTTTCAATTAATGGCCCTTGTTAAATTAAACCAGAAAGGAAACACAGCTCAATTCAGTCTCAGAGAGGTCCCAGGCCCCAGCCGAGTTGGGTAAGGCCCACTGTGCTCTTGTGCATGCAAACAGCAGGGGAGGCACCGAGGGCATGGGGAGCAGGGAAGGGGCTGCCTTCACACTGCCAGGAGGCTGCACATTCAGCCACACCATGTCCAGGTGAGAGACCATCCCAACCACAGTTGCTCTTTGCTGAGGGGCTAGCACAGCCCTCCCCGGAGCATGAAATCCATCCCTCCACTACTGCAGCAGGCAGCTGCATCCCAGCTGTACATCCGAGCATGCAGAGATGTCCCCATGTGGCACGTCCCTCCAGGCTGGCTCTGTCCTCAGCCCACAGTCCCAGCAGTGCTGTGACACGGCCACGGCAGCTGTGACTAGGTGCATGCCGTGGGCTGCTGCTTGCTTTGGTCAGCGTGTGCTCAGCCTCATCTCACAGCCTTCACCTCTCCAGGAGCATCAGCAATTTGCTGCACTGATTTTATACAGGTGCTAGGGCTGAGGTGTCAGTGTGTTTGGTGGCTCCCTTACAGCCCCCAGGGAGACGAGTCGTCCCTGGTGAGGTGCTCGTCATTGGTGTCCAGGCCAGAACCCCACAGCATCCGTGTTGGAGGCCAGAGTTGCTCCTCAGGTCACACTGGCACACCCCGCCTCGCCTGCCTACGACATGCTGCAGTTTGATGGCTTTGAACCGTGCGCCTGGAAAGGGAAGAAGCACACAGTGAGCAAGGGAAGATGGGCTTCTTCCCCCCCCCTACAACAGGGCACACCCAGTGC